TGGGAGTTTGTAACTCAATTTACCAGTGGGAGAATCAACTTGGTTAGTTTATTACTAATATTATCTTTTTTCCAACCTAATGTTTCCGAGGAAATATCATCTTGAGATGTGAATCAGACGACAAATGGAATAGAGAAATCTGGAAATTAGTGAATCAACTGATGTGAAAACTACCATGAATAATTTCAGATGAGTCAAGATATATTACTTCTGTTAGAGTTAAATATACATTCTCTTCAACCAGTTCAAATTATATCGATAAAATTCTACCTCTGTAAATGCTATGAGTTAATTTATCTCTATTTTTTTTTTAAATACACATCAATAAAATAACCACAAAATTTACATTTAATGGAGAGTATAAACTTTGGATTTATTATGATTATTGCTTATTTCTCTCAATTAATTGCTTAGTCTTTTATATTTAAAGAGCTTTTTATTCAGTATAAATGTCAGATTACTATTATTAAATAATTATTTATTTTTTAAAACTTCTATAATGGATATAAAATAAATCTTAATAGCATATTTTCATAAAAATAGGTATTAAAAATTGATTACTCTTTGGAAGTAAAAAATAATGGTGGATTTGAGTTGGTCCCCTGCAGTTTTATCTAATGTCGTGGAAAGATGCTCATCAGCGTTGACCTAGTCGTGGTTCAATACACGACTGCGAAACTAACTCTAGTCATTCAGCAAGAGTTGATCGGTATCACGGGCAATAAACAATCGTAATCGCAGCGGGTTCATTGGCTGTGAGCCAACCTCATCTTTTCTAGCCATGCAGTTTCTACATAGTGATATTCTATATGGATATTCTTACATCAAGGAACGACCGAAACTGCTGTGTGTAAAAGAACACCAAATGCTTGCCCGGCGGAAACTGTATGTGATCTAGCTATCGCTAAAGTTCGCTATGAACTATATTTTAAGGACACAAATCGATCAGTTATTTTTTGGATTATCATGATTATTTTTTTTAAGTAATTATGTGGAGGAAGTAAAGTGGTTGATTTTAATATCGATTAAGACAAAAGATATTTATTTTTTTAAGTATTATTTTGTATCCTTTTTGTTTGCTTCTTGGAGATAAACTGACTCAAAAGAATAAAATTAATATATTATTTAAACATTTTTAGAGTAGAAGACTAATGTGTCTCAGGATTACTATGCATGGCTCTAAGGAATTTTTGTTGTATTTATACAAACATGAACTAAGTAGAGCTGAACTATAGTAAAAAGAGTGTGATACACAGAGATCGTGAAAATTTTTTTTTTTTTGAGAATCGAAGCAATTTCCGGTTTTAACCCATTTTAGGGATGAAAAAATTAATTTTTTGTAAGATTGATCTGATTCCGCATTTCTACGCATCAAGACGAGGAATATGAGTGGTCGAACTTGGAAATCGGACAACTTTGATTTTTCGACCCCAAAAAATGGCAAGTGGTACCCCTTTCCATTTTTTTTGGCCAAAAAATAAAGGTACTCCGATTTTCATGTTCGACCACTCATTCTCTTTGTCTTGATGCGTAGAAATATGGAATCGGGGCCCAGCTCAAGAAAATTCACTTTAACACCCTTAAAAACGGGTTACACTAAATACAAATTACGAATTATCATCCCCTTGACTTTAAACCCCTATAACTCATGAACGGACAGTCTAATTATTGTTTTCAAGGACGTTTTGGAAAGCTGAAAATCTAAGCTAAATATGCATATCCATAAAAAATGTTCAAAAAATTTCTTTCACCCGTAAAATTGCTAAAATATAAAAAAAAATCACATTTTTTTGGGAAGTTGCCAACTATTTTGGCAATTTTAAGGGTGAAATAATTTTTTTAAACGTTTTTTATGGATATGTATCTTTAGCTAAGATTCTGAAGTTTCTAAATATCTCTTAAAAACCATTGTTTGATAATTTTTCGACGAGTTATGAAGATCCAAAGTCAAAGAATAGGTAATTTTTTGACCCTCACTCAACTTTGGACCTCTATAACTCTCATACAAGTTATCTAATGATGATCTTTGAGAGGTATTTGGAAACTTTAGAATCTAAGCTACAAATATATATCCTTAAAAAATGTTTTAAAAATTCCTTTCACCCTTAAAATTGCCAAAATAGTTGGCAACTTCCCAAAAAAATGTGATTTTTTTTTATATTTTAGAAATTTTAAGGGTAAAAGAAATTTTTTACACATTTTGTATGGATATACACATTTAGCTTGGATTTTAAGGTTTCTAAAACGTCCCTAAAAATAGTCATTGGACCTTCCGTTCATGAGTTATAGGGGTTTAAAGTCAAGGGGATGATAATTCGTAATTTGTATTTAGTGTAACCCGTTTTTAAGGGTGTTAAAGTGAATTTTCTTGAGCTGGGCCCCGATTCCATATTTCTACGCATCAAGACAAAGAGAATGAGTGGTCGAACATGAAAATCGGAGTACCTTTATTTTTTGGCCAAAAAAAATGGAAAGGGGTACCACTTGCCATTTTTTGGGGTCGAAAAATCAAAGTTGTCCGATTTCCAAGTTCGACCACTCATATTCCTCGTCTTGATGCGTAGAAATGCGGAATCAGATCAATCTTACAAAAAATTAATTTTTTCATCCCTAAAATGGGTTAAAACCGGAAATTGCTTCGATTCTCAAAAAAAAATTTTCACGATCTCTGTGTATCACACTCTTTTTACTATAGTTCAGCTCTACTTAGTTCATGTTTGTATAAATACAACAAAAATTCCTAAAAGCTGTCGCTATGAATTTTCTTGTGAATGTCGGTTAACTACGAAGCATGTATCGTGATCCCAGTGTAAGAGAACTGTTATCTAAGTATGATTATATTTCGGAATCAAACTTTGTCTGATCTACAAAAATTATCTTTCCATTGTCCTCTAAGTTTCTAATTTCAAATGACATCATAATCGAATGTATCTTCTCTTTGTTCCATTATCAACCATACTCCCTAATATTTTCAATTGAATAAATTCAAGATAAAACTTTTTCTTTTCATTTTTTTTCGATACGATTTTTTATAGAATAATTAAAATTCTTTACTGCTTTAACGTACTGAATAAACTTAATTTAGTTTCGGTTGATTATCGTTTACATTGATTTACAAGCTTCAAAAGTAGTAAAATATTAAATGTCGTTAACTTTTCATTTCATAAAAAATAAAAATGACGATAGAATTTATTGTGGTAGTTTACGAGGGGGAAAAAAAATAGTTTATAGATTAACAAAATTACAGGGTGAAAAACCTCACTTCCAGAATTGTTGCTTGTAACGGACGTTAACTTTTTTTATGAGTACCAATATATCAATGTTGATTTCCGTGTACTCGGGACACGACATAAACAATCGGTGGTGACGTTATCACCGGGGCTGTGGTTGGGCTGAAGTGTTGCATTCGGAACTCGCTTTATCCGCCTGCACGATCCGGCCTTATTCATCTTTTGAACGATCATCGTATGATGTAAATGTGGCTGGAATCTTTCTCTTTTGCATTCGTCTTCTATTGTATCCAATGCAATGTGGGATTCATACAATCTACACGTGATTACGAGCTACCGGAAGCTTCATGGTATGGACAACGGTTGAATGTATCGATACATACATTGTGTCAATCGTTCTCATCTGTATTAATGTGAGATTTTCTTGTTTCATCGAATCGGAAAACCACAAAATATTTATCTGTCATGGTATTTTTTAACTAAATAAAAATAATTAATATTGATTTGAATTATTAAAATATTTTTAACGGCTTTCAATTATCAATTTCTAATTAATCTTTATTATTATTTAAATATTTATTTAAAATATATTTTGTCAGTAAATAAAACTCTATTTAATTGTGGAATAAATGTATCGTAAGGTTTATAAACTCATTGCAAGATTCTTATAAAAAGAATCTTACCATTGTGATTTAAAAGACTTATTTAACCACAGTTCAATTTCTATTAAATAATTTTTTGATTAAAAATATTATGCCTTAAAATAATTCAGTGACTTCTTTTTTTTCGTTAGACTATGAATATATTAACAGAGTAAAAATGTAAAAACTTTAAAATAAATTTGAATTTTTTAAATAACTCTGCTACTTGAAACAATTGTAATCATTTGCACTTTTTATTATTCTTTTTTAAAAGTGAATTTTTTTTTTTTTTTCAGTAGAATTGTAAGAATCTTAAAGTAATCTCATTAGCTTGTACTTTTAATTATTTAGTAAAAAAGTAAAATATGTTACTAATGAAGGAAGTATAATGTAAAAATATGTACAGGTAAAATTAGTTTTTTTTTTTGTTTTCTACGATGAGTTACTTCATAATAGTTAAAGAAAAAATACATAAAAACAGATTTCTGGAAATAAAAAAAAATATTCATTAGAAAGAATTATACATGATCCACTTGTAGATTACAAAAGCTGGGTGTTGTTACACAACGGATAGGTAGAACAATAGATAAAAACTTCGATGATACTACAGATATGGAAAAAATGAAGGGAAAATATTATAATTCCTTTGTGATTTATACGAGAGATATTCAATTCTATATTCACGTTATTCGTATAGTTTTTTACACACAATGGCTCGTATTTCCATCAGGTAAAATGAAAAATTTTTTTCAAGAAATCTCTGTATTTAGAATGATTTATCGATATTTCTGTTTGCAATCACATTTCTTATTAAAAATATTTATCTTTTTTGTCATACTGCAGTCCTTTTTTTCTTTTTTTACCAGAAGTTAACACATCGTTTAATCAATTTTTTTCAATTCATCGTCATTTTATTTTAAAAGAAAATTTCCACAAAATTTTCTTTTGTTGTTACATTGATATATTCATATATTCAATTTGATGTCAATAAAAAATTATTTATTTCAATAAATATGAAGTTGTTGAATAGAAAATATGGTTGTTCTCAATTGATAAGTTTTGGAGATTTGTTAAAACTTTGTAGTGGCTTAACAATATTGTGATGAAGAATTAATTTCTGTTGTTTCAGGAGAAAATCCAGCGGCTATGCAGCACGGTGGTGGTTCAAACATTAAAGCCACACTAATTCTCGTCCTTCTATTGATTACGTCAACACTTGGGAGGTGACCATAAGGCGGATTTTGCATCCCTTGTCAACAACTAAGTTGACTTTAATCCTTTATTTGAATATCCACTAATTTAATATATTGGGGGCTGATATGAACAGCAAATCGTGATAATCAATGAATACCGTTCGTGACATTTCACAACGTTTTTCGTAAAGATATCACGTATGTATAATTAGATAAATTATTAACTTATTAGGGAGAAAAAAAAATGGAACAAACAATATCAGAATGCATCGTTGATTTCCTTTGTAATTTTTTCTTCTTAATTCATTGTCATTATCATTATCATCATCATCATCATCATCATCGTCTTTATCATTGTCAACTCTGATTATAAGAAGCATTGTTGTATATAGCTGTTATTAAATAATATCGTAGATAATAGGTAATTTTTCGAACGATAAAAAAACTTTATACGTAAAATTTTTTGGCTGATATAAAATATAAGATTTAAATATAAGAATAACATTAAAATAGAACGTAAATTGTATATTAAATAAATTTTATGTACACGTTTTGAGTAAAATGTGTATTAAAAAGATCCATAAAAAAAAGTTTTTAGTTTTTATATTAAATAATATTAATCAATTTAAATTTTAATTAAATTAAGTGTCTCACTTATATTCACTTAATTTAATTTGTTATAAACCAAAAATGATATTGTTTAATTATTCTTATATTTAAAATATATATTTTACATATAAAATTGTTTTTAAGTGTTTTGTTTTGATAAGTGATTATCAAATAAATATAATTTAATTTATTTATTGATTAATTATTCAATAACTGCTATTTGGCCTATGATAATGATTAAAATTTCAATGATTAATTAAAGTATTTGGTGACATCGTAAAACTAAAACAGGTGATAATTTTATATAAGTATGGTGATATTCTGATGTTTTGGAATTTAAAAAAAATTTTATTGCAATAATAAAACAAGAGTATTAACAGTAATGCAAAGTTGATAATGTAAATGTGAGTACAAATGTTTAAATAAAATGAATTATTTGATCATAAATTCACTTGATTTAACATCTTACACGAAAAATGCAATGAAAAGAGAAAAAAATGCTTCCAATTTATCAGTCACATAAAAAAGTAACTATATTACTGAAGGTAATAAAAATGTTTATACACGGCGCGATGATTGCAAATCAACAAGAAAAATGTAATTTTTGTATTTTCGTTGGAAATTTATATTGAAAATTGAGTCGCGTCAATTTTTCAACATATCAAAGTGATATTAAAATAATAATTCTCCTAGTTACATTTATTTAAGAAGCTCCAAAAAAAAAATAATAACACAACTGGAAATTAATTTTTTTTTTAATAAAACTAAACAATCCACATTTTTTATTATTATAAAAGTTTAAATTATTATTATTTAAATTTTTATTAAATATGTAAGCACACACATAATGAATTCAGATTATTTTTTTCTACATTCACTCACTATTCAAAGTTATTTTGACTTGATTTATTTATTTATTCATTTATACAGTTGAAAAAAAAAAAGATAAATTCTAAATTTGGAATAAAAAATGCATGAAGCAAAATAGTAGAAATGTGATCAATGGAATGACAATTGAATCATGTAATTTTAATTGAAATAAATCAGTATGTCGGTAATTTATATCATTACATAAATTTCCAATACATCAAAGGTAAAAAGCGACCGATAAAATATTGGAAACTATTCGATTTTATTGAGACGGTTTATTTTTATTGTTTCATTTCTAGCTATAAAATACAATTGATATTGAGCCAATTTGAACATAATCGGAATAAACAAACCTGTAAAACTCTTTTACACCTTTATTGAATGATTCTCGAGAAAGACTTCTTAGAATGTTATTTCAAACAAGAGAGAATGGATCGTTGACTCGTCGCATTGTCTGAACCAATACTCTCATTTAACAGAATAGAATAGTTCGGTATTGCAAAATTCTCTAGAATGATTAAAATGTTTTGTATAAACATAAAATATTTATTCAATTAAATTGCTCAAATTCTATCCATATTTTGCGATTTATTTAATTAACTTTATTTTAAATAAATAATTATTTATCTATTTATTTATGCATAGTAATAAAGAATAATTAAAAAAAAAAAAAAACATTCTTCTGGCTATAATTATCATACAAGTTATGATATTAAAATATATTATTATTATCCATAAAATTGGATAAAGTTTTTTAGTTGAGTAAATAATTCAAACTAATAATAATTCATTTTCAGAAAAGTAAGGTAAAAGGAATTGCTATGAAAGCTTATCATGATAAATGATGGTAAAAATATATGATATGCAGGCTATATGTAATTGAAAATTTACTTTACTAACCATACTCTGAATGATGGTGATTAATATGTTGATATCAATTTTTATTTGTATTATAGAAAAAGAGATAAATAGAAAATAAATAAATTGTATATAGCTTAAATGAAAACTGAAAAAAAAGGTGTAATTTCATTAAAGGATGTACGTGTGTTCTGATGATTCTTTGATTGTGCCAGTCTATTTGAAAGCCTGTAATGTAGTTAAGGATCTTGATTAGCTGACAAATACAATAAATCAAGCAACGCAACGATACCATGTATATTTATATAGTTTTGTAAAATTCTTTTATCATTAAAGAATTTTTATTACGAAACTATAAATATATCATTCCACTATAATAATATAATCGTATTGTAACATTAACGTTATAATAAATATTGTTAATGATTAATTGATACTAATAAATCATCACTAAATACTAAGAAAATAAATAAGTGTCTGATAATGACGATAATGAAATTTCAATAAGTCAAGTTGGCTATTATTTTAATGTCGATATTTATTGTTCACTATTTGTAACATTGAAATAGAATAATAAAATTCGTCGTATGTATTCTACACTTTTATTTCCATTTTATTATCACAATAAATTACTTCCTTTATCTGTATAAATAAGTATAAAATTTGTTTTAATTTAATTGTAATCATTTGGTATCCAAAATAGCAAGCTAAAGAAAATGTATCCAAAGAATATCCATGATCAAGGGACCAAATGTAAACTTTGATTGATGATACTACATCTATTCTAGGCCTGCTGTGGACTATGTGCTGTCACCATGAGTCAACACGTCGACAGGGAATACCCATTACTTCGTCAAACACAAAACATTGGTGTCACATTTGAAAACCGCCAATTAACTAACACGTATAGCAATATCTCTAATCCACTTAACATTAGTTATTTTAGTGATTCCAAATTTGAACAACTTGATACTATAACACATGCTACACTAACAACGATTACATGATAGAGAAATAAATTTAAGTATTTTAACAATTGTTCTTCATAAAATTACATCCATATGCTTCCTTTTTCAAATCTAAACAAAATGGAGGAATAAAAAAATCCGGAAGAATGAAAGATAAATAAATGTAACAGAACAGTACGGGGTACAAGAAGTCGTGCCAAAAGTCACAAAGAATCATTCTTGATATTAGCCAATTGAGATCATGCCAAACAATTTTTTTCAACTTGACCATAAAATATATATCTATATATATATATATATTTTCATTTATTTGAGGTAACAAAATATTTTGATTTGTTTTTCCATGACATTCTTTGTCATGTCACTTCTAACATTATTTATAGTTGAAGTGTCGGAATCATGATAAGTCTGTTGATGTGTTGGTATTATTTTTATTTACATAAAAAAATTTAAAAATATTACCTGGAATAATGACAAAATTTTTGTTATAAATATAATAAAATATTTTATGATTGTCATTTTTCATTGATAATTGACAGTATTGTTAGTAGCAAAATGAGAGTTAATCGATCAAGATGGAAGCGTGTGTTAAACTTTTAAATTGATGATGGCAATTTAGTTATTCTTGTTCAATCGATATTAGTATTATAGGATTAATTATTTAAGTCCCTCAGGATATCGTCGAATTAATGGACGCAAAACCGCAATGCAACCAAGGCATAGATAATTCTGCAGTTCGGTGGTCACTCTGATTGGTCTCCGGTCGCGTGCTTCTTCCTTTAGAATAGAGCTTGTTTCTATTTTTATTTGACACTTATGTATTTGTTTAATTATTGATATTACTTAGCAGCGTCATTCATTCAATTAAAAGCATGAAATAAATAAACTATTCACTGTCACATTGTTCATTATAAATAGCCCAGTATCAACTTTAGAAATCATTAAGGTAAGATAAGTTAAAAGAAATAAATTCAATACTTATAGAAGTCAATATACATCAATTTGATGAGGAAAAAAAAGATGATTGTCTATAGAGTTCCTTATGTAGTAGAAAGTAGTTTAATTCTCTCTTCGGGTTTTTCTATTTGCAAATTAAACAGAGTCCTTGATTTGATTTCAAAAGTAGCCAATTCCGGAAGACTATTGGAATGTCTCTTAAACTCAACCGACTGGATGTTTAATCTTAATCGATCTTCTATCCTAACAGACCTTACTCCAACCTTAAGTTCACTTTTTTTTTTTTGTTTATTTGTGAAGTCTTAAATGTATTTTCCATTCTATTTTATCGCCATTTTATCAATTCCATGTTTTTTCACTTAACGTCACCATTCTTTTTCCAACAATATATTTCTTTAGTTAACTTGAATCTTTAACTTTCAAAGTGTCATTAGATCATTAAGCAATTCTTTTAAGCAAGTTTTCCTTACTTTCAAATACATTTTTATTTGATGAGTTTTTTATCCATTTAAACCTGAATAATACAATTAACAATGGTATTATTATAATAACTGTTAACTAAGTCATGATAATAATTATCATTGAAGATGTTGATAGAGTATTTTTTTGGTTATTAATGTATCTCTTATCGTCGTACAATATTTAAGCATGATAACATGGCATTACTAAAGCTAACATAACGTATTTCAACGTCATTCAGAGCAGATCAGAGATTGATCTCAGCTAAGCTTGCAGAACGGTTCATTAACCCTAGCTTACTCATTACAGCTAAGTCAGTCGTGCGACCTTCTGCAGAATTTACATGCAAACGCTCTCTCATCGTAATAAGTAGCTTTGATAACATTATCTCTATCAACTTCAAATTCAAGTCCTCTCAAAGATTATAAGCTATTTCAAGATACCAAAATCATATAATAACATCAATAAGTCATTATAACTGATTGATGAAAAATTTTCATTATTGATGTTGCCTTTAATAACATCTCAAAATAATAAGATTGAATCATTTATTGCTTCATTCATTTGATGATGATCTTCTGAGAATATTATGCACATCATTCAGACACTTGTGAGGAAAGGTGACATGAACAAAACTGAAAAGTCATGTTGAGGTCATGAAACACAGT